CATATTAATTTATTTTATTTTTTTCTTGTGAAAGTTTTTCAAAATCTTAGGGTGAGTGAGAAACTTTGTTTTGAGATTTTATTTTGTATTTTTTGCATAAAATTTGATACCCTAGAAATTTTTATAAAATATTTTAAAAAATCATTGACAGTTTGAATGCCCAAGAATTATATAAATTTCTAAAAAGTTTTATTGAATATATCTGACTTTTAAAAGTTTCGATTGAATGTTCCAATTCTTTTAAAGAGTATTAAAAAGTTTATATTTAGTATCTTTAAACTTTTAAATTCGACAAAAGTCTTTAAAAGTTAAATTGAGTAAGCTCGTTTACCCAATATAGCCCACCGACAACGAATTTCAATTGGCTGGTTCAATCCAATCTATAAAACCAATTTTTTGGCCCAATTATTTATTTCAATTTCATCCTTTCTTTTCTCCTGTCAATTCTGTGAAATTGAAAACCAAATTTGAAATTCTCAAATCCATTTAACCCTAAATCTTTCCCCTATGCTCACAGCGGAGGCGGCTGCTTAGGTACACGAGGGCATAAATTTGGTGATCTCCCGATGGGCCACTCTTCGAATGGCCGTCGAGAATGAGTGGAGCGGTTGTGATTCTGCCCAGAAATCCCAACAACTCGCCCCAAGTTATCTTTCACACCTCATTCAATCCAAAGGTATTTTCTTTATTCGTATTTGATTGAATACGCATGCACTCAATTGATGTGTTTTTATGTCATAATCAGTATGACCTTGATTGCATGGTACGGTCTTGATTTTTTATGTTAAATTTTGGTATAAAGATTGTATCTCTTTCTCTCCCTGTGCTCGTGCATGCGTGTGGATGAGAGAGATATTTACATTAAATTTGAGGTATAATGAATAATATTTTATTAGTCTAATTTGGTGCTCAGGAAAAGTATGCATTGATGATTTAGAGAATATGCTTAATGAATTCATGCTCTCTCAACACCGAGATAGGGGATGGTAGCATTGAGGAGGTATGTTTTCTTGGTCTTATTTGTGAACTTCAATTATATCATATAAATGCAAAACATACAAGTATAGTTACATGCTACTTACATACATCACCGAAAACCGTGAAATTTGGATCGAACTCAAGGAAAAGGTTACAGTTGAAAATCAATATTTAAAATGCAAAACGAGAAGCAGTTAAATCCACCTGTAAAATGTAAAAGAGTGAAGTTCTGATGAGATTTAATGTTCTGATTGGCAATATTTATTGTGAAACCTTGCTCTCGGGCCAATCATTTTGCCTGACCAATATAATTGTCATCTACTCAAGAACATTTGAAATTTTGGCATGCTTATAAAAGATTAATGATGGATGATCTCGTTGAACTATACTGTTGTGGCTGGACAACAAGCATGATCTACATGATATTAGTATTAGAGGGTAATAATAATAATTATTTTTTCGTGTTAGTTATTTGTTAGATATATTTCATGTTCAATAAATATCTATTAGTTGCACAGGTTTGAATAAGAAGTTTCCAAATATCTACTAATACTCGTCTTTTCTTCTTTTTGTTTATGTGGAAACTGTACTCAGATAGTAGAAAAGTTGATGGTTATGCATGAAGAATGTGTAGAAGGTAAATTTAACTCAATTAAAAGCCTTAGACAGGTAACTATCACTCTCTAGTGATTGAACAAGTGTTCATTATTTGGATAAATATTTTTGCCGTTGATGAATCAAGTTTGTTGTTTATTAAATAACAACGTTGGAATGTTTTCTAAGAAGAAAGGATAAATATATGAGCATGTTTTCGAATGTGATGTAAATATTGATTATAAAAGTTTGATCTATATCTAGTCATTAGTCAAATATGATTGGAGATTAGTTAGATGACCGTATATACATTTTTAGCCCTTGTTTGGTAGAAATCATTTGCTATCACTTGAAACCAACCCACAAATAAGGCCATGCCAAATTTA